TATTTCTTTGAAATAAAAGGATATTTTGCCAATAAAACTATCCAGTAGTTTTTGTCATGCCCTAGCCTATATACCGTAAAAATATGAGCGAAATCGAATTTTCGACCTTTGCCGAGTTATTTTCCATATTTATGGACAGGGACTCTTAAGCTTATCAAAATCAGGTATTTGGGAATTTTTTTTCCAAGTTTATGTGCATTTCACATCCCACTCAGAGTTCAGATCAATCGACTAAAATAAACAAGACAAGTATAGAGAGCACAACTTTAATCTAAACTTAACTCGATGTCGGTTGAACGTGGACTACTCAACATGAAAAACTTCAGTGCTATAAACTGCAAAGCTGTGAATGAAGGTCCTGCTTGATTGAACGTTGGATCTCACAGGAGATCTAATCAGCCAAACTTGAAAAGTAAAACGATAATAAGTCAAAGACTACTGCAAGGCTGACACAACGTCATATATTTAAAACAATTATGCGCCTGTCACATTAAACCCCCACCCCGGGGAAACATGGGGCATTAGCCACAGAGCAAAGCCAAAGAAGGATAATGCCCTACATACAGGGGACGAAGAAACTCCTTGTCTACACCCACATTATTACTTTCAGAAGTGTGATTGACATTTATTTTTGAATACTTCAACGTTTGGACAACACATTTTCACATGGAACAAGTGCCAAATTTTCTAGCTTCATTCAGGATACCATAAAAGGACATAAAGTAGTTCGTTATGTCTTCAACTTTTCCGGCAGGAAATGCACAGCCATTATCCTTCTGGCACATTCTTTAGATCAATCCCTGCACACGAAAAATAGTACAGCTTCCCACTGCAATGCAAACTGTTGTGTCCTATCATGTTTTCCTCAGGATTTGGTTGTCCACAGGGACAGAGAATGTCATCTCCTAAATCATCATCTGGATTCTATAAAATGAATTAGGAAACAGGGCACTTTGTTACCACGATGGTTTCTTTTCGAGCCCAATTTAGTGAACCTAAACACTCTTAAGTCTTCAGTACTGGCTAGCAAAAGAATAGGTCACACATTAAGGATTGAAGTTTAACTGCAAATATAAACTCACCATCACAAAATGAAGATGATCCATTAGTACTGTAATCTTCTGCAGTCTGTATCTCCACAACTGGAACTTAAATGAAAAACAAAAAACAGTTCAACATTGTCACTTGATAGTTTATACAAGACCCATACACTGGAATGACAACAATGTTTGGATGTTTAATTGGATACTTACCATTGTTTGCTACTCTTGTTGCTGCTGCCTTTTTTGCTCCTTGCACTCTTCTTTTTCTGATGCCATCCAGGTGCTTTAACCACATAGCAGTTTCCTTTACTACCAGATTTGTCTTCTTTGCTAGGTGCTCTATTTGCTCTGTATCTCCTAGTGTCATTTCCAGATTTTACAGCCTGATTAAATGCATTTTGAATAACCACGGAAGGGGCTTCTGCTTGGACTTTTGTGTTTCCATTCTCTTGAATGTACTTCCAGGCTTCTAGCAGCTTGAGGTAGTGTCCTGATTGGCAACGGACAAGGCAACAAGGCAAAGGACTAAAATATACTAATTCCCCACCCCATAGGGCAAAGCAAAGGCCAACACATACTACCTCTTTGGGAAGGCAACACAAAAACATAGGCACGCAAGGCGTGCAAGAGTTATTTTTTTGTGAACTATAAGTCTCGGAGATAGCAGCATTCATGGAACTGTTTACAGTAATGATTTGGTTGATTTGACAAGTTTTTTGGTTGCGATGTACAGCAAGAAAGAAACTGGGAGTTTATGATGTACATACAATGTTACATTGGTAATGGTAAGATAACTAAATAGTAAGCCATAAAATGTTTGACTGAAGAAACTACAGTAATCTGACACGTCTCTAGATTAATGTAG